AATTATTATGGAACTATACACTATGATGTATGACTTCCTTTCTAATAAATGTCTAAGATTTAGCACAAGATACCAAATCAACTTTATTAACAACTACAGTAGTTTTAATTATATTTTACATGGTAAAACATTATTGTGAAATCTTTGTTGAAGCTTTCAAATATAAAGTTGATATACAAACCGGTAAGAGCTATCTAACGCCTTAATGATAATAAAGGATGAATTTAAATCATACTTGGTGCAGTTTATTTTCCAAATCGGTAGAAATGTTCTCCTATTATTTCCTTGGGATAACACCTATAACACTAATAATTGTACTTTGAGTACAAATACCAACCAGTAAGTACATAAAACATTTTCTTTATAATATTTATTTTGGAAAGGCTCCATCCTTATCTTATGCAAATTTTTTGTGGTTTTAAAGCCTATGTTGGACTAAAGCTTTTAAATGCAAAATATACTAAATACATATTTGTATAATAATCTAAATGTGGCTTAGATTATTATATGCAAACCCACCAAGAATAAGTTTTCTTATTCCTCAGATAGTTGCGTTAGTAAAAAGTAAGCTTCTAATGACAAAGCGTGTGGGAGGTACATGGAACTGGAAGCAACTCAAGAACCATAACCTGATGTAGTTACAGTTGGAACTAATTTTAAAAAGGATTGTTAAAATTGAATAATAGTTATTCACAAACACAAATTGTTCACATTAGCGGTAGGAATCATCTATGAATTGACAGATGTGGAATCTCTCATTGATGAGCTTTTCTTGATGGTTTCTGGCAAAACCATAAAATACCAAGATGGTATGTCAGATCTCGAATATGATTAATGACTTACAGTTATGAACATGGGATGTAATGCATATGTAATAATCAAGTATGGTCTTAATTAAACTTCCTCCCTATAGCAAGGCTAGAAGGAGTAAGTGATTATTCTAGAAAAAATACATTACAAGGATAACTATACACATTTAAAGCAAGACTTGTTATAAAATGATTTTCTCATACTCATGTCATTGGTTATGGTTCTCATCATACTCATGACATTGACTATGATCAAACCTTTTTCACAAGTAGATATTATTATATCAACAAGGATATTATTTACTATAAAATCATATTATTAATATGAGATATAGAAAAATAGATTTCAAGCAAGACCACTTTTCTTAATAGGCATCTACTAGAAGATATCGATATAGATTAGCCTGGAGGTTTTCTTAATTCATGTGATCCTAACAAAATGTATAGAGCTTGAGATCCACTTGTGGATAAAAAGCAAACATCTTAATGTTTCAATCATCATTTTAATGTACAACTATAGGGTATGGTTTTATATCAAAATGAATAGAACATGTGTGCTTACTAGGAAATAGTGGGAGCATATTGACATTCCTAATCTTGTATGAGTGATACATACTTAATCATAAGAAATTACATTCTGACCATGCCAGGATTTTTCACTTTGACTAGGAATGTGTTTCTAAAATGAAAGACTTAGAAAGAACAAGATATATTCTTGGAATGTAAAATCTATAGGGATAGATAAAATGAATGTTAAAAGTTTTATATCTTTATGCATATATTGAGAATATCTTGAAAGAGATCAAGATAGAAGATTCCTTTGGAGGAACCCTAGAATTGTCACATGTCACTGAATTTGAGCCAACTTCAAATGGAACCTAGCTCATAGGTTTGAACTAGCTAAACTGATTTATATTCGATTTTCTTGGCAAATGAATCCATCATTTATGCAATATTATGCATAAGACTTGGTATATAATCATGCTATAAACATATCATAATATACTAATTGAATACATAGTTAAGTCATTGGATAACTATAGGAACATTCTAAAAGTACTTTAGAAGAACTAAGAGAATGTATATGAAACAATTAGTTTGGAATAAAATCTTCATGTAAAGATCTACATATGATTATGATTTCTAAACACACACACACACACACACACACACATATATATATATATATATATATATATATATATAATTATGAATTGTAATTGCATTATGACTTCATTGTGGGATGAAGAGTAAGTTTTGTTGGAATGAGGTCCAACCAAAACATAATGACACAATATACTACAAAATAAGAATACACTACTTTAGAAGTTGAAATCTAATATGATTGGATAAATGAGTTCATTGAAAAACTATGTTGATTTTTTCCATTTTAGGATCACATATAAATCTTTATGACTTCGAGAGTATACTTAATCGAGCTAAGGGACTCTATGTCACGAAAGAAGACCAATCATATAATCCAAGAAATTTAACTATACCTAGAGTAAAATTAAATATGGAGATGATAGTATTCGCATAATTCACACAAATTAAGTTTAGTCGAACCCATTAATAAAGTCTTTTTCTTAAGCTAAGTATGAATGGTCACACTTCAGCTATAAGACTTTATTATTCTAGAACTGAGATTTTGATTTGGATTTAATATTTGGATATTGGAACATTGTGACAACAACTATTATATAATGTGTTAATATACTAGGATATGATCATAACGACAGTACTTTTTGTGTTCTATATTAACATGTTTAGTCCATGAATAATCTTATTATTTTAAAAGTTTATAATCGATTATAATGGTGGGAGCAGTTATGAAGTAAGACTAATATGAGTTGGATTGATTGACTTTCACCAGATGAAAGTAGGCAATTGGTTTTAACCAAGTTTCATAGTTACTTGAATGACAACTAGTATTGAACTGACCCACATCAATATCATCTCATGGATCGCTATCATGAATGATACTTGATTAAAAGGTACTATCTTTGTAACTTTAACACCTGAGATACATTGTGGGACTTAAGTATAGGGAGTGTTGTGCTTTGATGTGGTCAAATATTGTTCCTTAACCGGGAAGTTATAAAAGCCATTTTCAGGTATGGTGCGAACTATGCAAGATGATTATGTAGTCAAGATGGAATTTGTTCATCTTATGTGCTGAGAGTGAGACATCTAAGGCACCTTACCAAAAGTTGAACACCTAATAAGATTGATCGCGATCTGTATCTCATGTTCAACATGATGTCTGTGACAAAGGGATAACTGATAAACTTTCCTAATACACAAATTGTAGCTTTGAGCTTTTTGGGAATTGGGCGTTGATAGAATGACACAAAGTCGTATGTTGATGGGGGTAGTGAAATTTTGCTAGATGTTCACCATTGTCTATATCAGTCTAATATGAATATTGCACAAGTGGAAAATTAAAAGATCTGGTATGCTCAAGAATAATATTAAAGTGATATTGCTAATTAACCTATGATACTAATGAGTCATACTAATAACAAATTGATACAATTGATTATTTATTATAAATTTATTTTAATAAATATTCAATAAACTCTTATAATTAATTGGAAATTATTTATTTCTTGGAAATAATAATTTTCATTAGCATGTAACATAATATATATCATATGGTATGATTTATTAAGTCATGTACAACGACATTAGGTCGCTACGTCGTGGCGATTGGGGTTGAATCAACTGTTTTGTCCTGATCTGGTGCCACGGCATGTCACGTTGTTGAGGCTAAATGTTTGATTGATGACTTGACCTTGACCATTAACCATGAGGGTTGACTTTTGAGTTGCCGACTTTGGTCAAATGTCTGGTTTTAGAGAGGCAAACTAAGGGTCTTACTTGCATGTATATCCAGTTGGCGTTTAGCACTATTTTTGATTTGTGAGTTGTTGATTAAGGGCAGTATTTCAAGGTGAGTCTCTTCATTGTACTTGTGAGTCGAACGCACCAATGTCGGCCCATTGGATTATGTTTGTAGGATGCTAGTTGGTTGTGTGATACTTACATATTCGGTATGTGGGCGGGGCTGTTATGCAAGCTAGGGCGATGCATGTTATGCTTATTGGGTGGGGCTCGTTATGTGAGTTAGGGCGAGGCCATTTATACTCAGTGGGCGGGGCCCGTTATGCGAGTTAGGGCGAAGCCTGTTACACTCATTGGGCGGGACGAGTTACTTGCACGGTATGTGATATTTTTTGGGGAAACTCACTAAGCTTTGTGCTTACGGTTTAAGTTTATGTTTCATGTGCTTCCGGTTCGAAGGGGAAGGACCTGACCTGATCGCAGCGCATCCAACCGTGTCTAGCTTTTATTATTTTGGGATTTGTACTCTGATAACTATTTCGACTATGATATACTCTGATGGTTTATGAGCTAGCTATATGATTGATGGTTTTGTTTACTTAAAAATATAAAAAAAAATTCATTAGTATTTTTGGTACATTTCAAGTTGGTATCAGAGTCTTGGTTTGAGGGATTCAGACACACTCTCTGGTGTGTCAGAACTCAAACTGGGGATTTGATAAGTTGTTCATAAAGGAAATGTTTTTCTATAAAGGTTTCTACTAAAAAGAAGGGGTGTGATGCATGCATTCGGCTGATATCAAGTAAGTGTTCCCAAAACACCCATACATGTTTGTTGATTCAGTATGTGATTATGTGAATAACATGATAGTTTAAGGCTAAGGATCTGTTCAGATTTGTATGTTAGGAGAGATGCCTTTGTATGGTTACTGTATAAGCCTTTAGAACTACATGATAGCCTTTAGAACTACATGATAGTATGGATTACAAACAATATGATAGGATGGCCTGGCAGTGATCTAATTAGAACTCAATGCTCGAATGTTGCTTTCCTAATTGGAAGAACTCAGGAAGGTTGATGCCCAATACCAAAAAAGAGATTTGGGCCCGTCAACTGTTTGTGCAATAAAACTTTTAAAGACTAAAGTCCGTTTGACCTCATATAAGTTACAAAACGGAATTTTCAAAATTTATTCATGCTACTTGATGGAATTCAAGACGATTCATATAAAATTATGTTTCTTGACTTGTTTCTCAAGAGGAGACTTTTTCAAGAATTAATGTTACATCAGGATTATACCATTCACACACTTTTAATTATTTAAACGGGAACAGTATATGTCGTGATTAACTATTGTAGCGACCACAACAACAAAACGAATAGTGATAATGGAAGCGAAAGGCAAATAGTTGACCCGTATTTCCTCCATCAAACTTGCAATCGGCTACACCCAAAGCCCGTTTCTTTGTCTTACCTCCAAACACTGTGAGACATTTTCCAGTAGCACGAGATACCCAAAATCTAAACTGCCTGTGGTTCAAATGCTTGGGTGGATTAATCGATTTCCAATCTGCAAAAGCCAAGCTTTCCAAGGAAGTCAAAGACCGGAGCTTCACTTCACCATGCTTGTCAACTGTCAAGAAGTTTTGTCCCCCTGAACATTTATCCATATAGTTACTGAACCTGCACATGGATTAATTATCATTTATTAGTGTCACTGTTAGATATCTGGAGTTGTATATTTTCTCTTCAAAAGAACCCTTAACATATGTGACCTTAAAATTTGATAAACTCACTAATCCAAAGAGTGACAATTGATTAACAAAATAATTCCTAATTAATTTAAATTAGAAAACTTGATTCTTTCGATAATTGTAACCGAAAAAGATGTAAAAAGATGGTCACTTGCGGTTTCGGTTTTTTTATTTCTAATTTTATCGGCTCTGATACCATGCTAGAGTGGTGGAGCCGAGGACAAACATAAAAAAAACAGATGTGGGACACTATAACAATCAGGATCTTGAGAATAAGGCTAAGAATTAGAAGGTTGAGTCAAAAAACTAACCTATGAAAACCCGAAGCAGAGCCGGAAGTGGATTCCCATCCAAAATAGGCATTGTACTCCAAAGACTGGCCACCCACAACACTAGGCACCGAGTAAACACCTCTATCACTAGCATTAACATAGTCAGACTGCAGTGCTCCAGCAATAAGGGTGTCGTCAAAGGCAGTCATGTGAGGGTAGGCCTCACTTGCTGGACATGTTTTGGTCTTATGATCACATGTTGAACACTGGTCGCATAAATTTTTGCTCTCTAATTTGTTGTGTATTGGAGGCGCATAATCAATCCCACCACCCATGCTCACCACCACCAGATTCATCAAGATCAGGATGCTGCATAATCTGATTATTCGATCCATAATCTGCGTATCTCACTAATTAATATGTCAGCTTGTTATATATTAACACATATTACTTCGGCGAATGATGCTAAGATTGGCTTTTTGTGATATTTAATACTGTAAGTAATATTGTTTATGTCGCTCCTTGTCCCTCCTTGAACCAATCTCATAATATTCCAAAAACTCACTATTTCAAACATTGTAAATATCGACAAGATTCACACAATCACGCCCTTTTACAGCTTATACATATATTTATGCAATTAATTTTTGTTGCATATACAACAAAAGACAGTATGTATGTACACAAGAACACAACAAGATTAACAAACGATAAGCAAAGTATATAACTTTTGTGTTTTAGACACCACCAGTGACGCAAGAGAGGAGTCTATGGCTTCTGAATCGAACAAGTTTCTTGTTATTGTCAAGATTTCCATGAGTCGACTTGCTTCTTGTAGTGGAGACTTGAGGCTTGTCTTTATTTTCTTGTTGTGGGTAGTGATAATTGTATCCATCTGGGTAGAATTCTTTGATGTTGTAGCTTTGATAGCGTCCCTTTACAGTCATGCTTCTTTTGATGCTCTTATACACCATCGGAATCAGTCCCTCCATGATTGGAAATCCAGTTTGTCTTGAATTGGTTATGGTGGGCTGGGGAACATATTAATGTTTTGAATACGAATATTATATACAGATGATACCTAATTTGACTTCCTCAAACACATAATTAAGAGGTTCCATCTTTCTTCCTTATCGTGTTGGTCATTTGGTGCGTATAATAATTTGGAAAATTGGGTTGCAGGTGGTGATTTAGTCAATGAGACGTGATCGCCAGCAATGAATCCCATGGAAAAGTCTTTGGAGTGATGAGTTGTATAGAAATATAGTAGTATTCAAAATGGATTGATATTGCGTCTTTCATGCCTGAACAATAGTTTATTCATATTGCATAAAAGACCCCTCATCGGTTGAATTGGTGGCTCTCTCTCATCGATCTATGTCAAGTCAAACAAGCATCTTCCCTTGTCACTCTTCATTTTCGTTCTCCCACGGTGGATTGATCATTTTTTACATATAAACACAAGACAAAAGTACATTTTTGGTCCCTGTGGTTTAATGATTGTTTTTAATAAAGGCTAAATGTTTTAATTTTAACACCCACAGTCCCTATCTAATCTTTTTGTCACACATTTAGTCCCTCCGTTAAATTCCTTAACGTTAGTCCAGTTAAATAGAGGCATGTGATTCGCACATGCTGAGCACAATTGTCCTTTTCATTTTTCCCTTCTTCTTTTGCTGCTACATTAAAAAGATGATTTGATGTAATCTTCATTGTTAATATATATATATATATATATATATATATATATATATATATAGAGAGAGAGAGAGAGAGAGAAAAGATCAAATACGAACCAAAAAAAGAATAAGAACCATGAGAACCTGATGCGTCTCAGATCTATTAAGTTCAACTTCTTCCCTTTTAACATTTAGAGCAAAAACCTTCATTTATATCCTTCAACCACCAATCTGATGAACACCATCATTGTCATCGGTTGTTGCAACACCGCCACCACCGATGACGACGGCTTCACCACCACCACCACCGGTAACGATGTCTCCACCATCGCTAGTATCTCCGATATGGTGTGTTTTCTCATATTCTGATCAAAATATCTTCCTCCTACCGCCGATGTCATGTCATTACCAACCCCTTCATGTCTGAACATCCATCGCCATTGCTTCCACACACTATTTTCTGCAGATCTACGAGATCCGGCTCTAGATCTATGATTTTTAACGCTAGATCTACAATTTCCTCCTTCAGATCTACAGGTGTTTCAGCTAGATCTCGTGATGTGGAAGGAGTTCTGATGGGATCTCAAGACGTGGAAGGATTTCTGAGGAAATCTATTGTTCAGACAAAGGAGTTCCGGTGGAATCTAAGTTGGCACCGATGTCGCCATCTAGATGTGCGATTTCCGTTGTAGATCTATGAGATCCACCACCATTCAACCACTATAGAACCATCAGTAGTGTCTCCCTCCTCCATATTTGTAAGTCCTGCCACTAATCGCCACCAACAACGACGACTACAATGACACTGACGATTGACGAGGCCAGTTACACGAGCATCAACATCCGACGAGACCAAATCTATGAGATCTTGCGAGTGGAAAAGCTAGATCGATAAGATTTGGTGGTGTTGTTACAACTGATGTGTCACTCATCATCTTCTTCACATCAGGTACATTATTATGAGGCTCATATGAGTGTTTTTTTAACCTCTGTACAATTATTTTCATGTTTATTTATTGTGTTTTACATCTTACTCCATCTTTGCTACCTATTATGTGTTAAAGGCTTAGTAAAAATCAGAATCAATAATCATTTCATGATGCACACAATGTGTTTGATGATTTTCCTGAATGAAATTTTGAAACTGTAAATAGTGTTTTTTTGTACATTAAGTTGTGAATAAGTGTATAAACTTATGTATTAATATTTGAATAACCTAAATCCTACTATGATTTTTTTGTATTTATGAATAATCTGAGTTGTATAAGTATTGTGAATGGTTTTTTTGATGCACACAAGGTGTTTGATGATTTGTGTAAATGAAAATTATAAAATTTGAAAAGTGTCTTTAAGTTGTGAACACTGTAAATGAGTGTCAGAAATTGCTTTATTAAACTGTGAATTAAATTCTTCAAATGTGAGTTTTAATTTGATAATATAGTAATGAATGTATAATTTTTGTGTATTAAACAACAAATTTATTATATTACGTTGTGAATTTGTGTATTAAACTGTGGATTTACTGTATTATGCTGTGAATTTTGTGTATTAAACTGTGAAATAACTGTATTAAGAGTTTTAAGTTGATAATATGGCTGTGATGTTGGGTTTTGATACGAAATAAAAGTTTGTTTTTCATAAAAACCGGCAACGGAAGATTTTAAAATAACATGTTTATTTTTAGTTCATAACAAAATTGAACCATCATGGATCCATTTATAGAGGTTGGAATGAAATAAAACTAACCATAGGATGTTTTAGAGATTACATTTGAAGCCTTTGAACCCACTCGGTTTTGGGGTGTTGATGAAGATAGCAAAAGATCAAAGTGTATGATCTTCTCTACAAGTATCCACCATCAAGAGTAAGGCACTTGGAATGCTAGTTCCTTCTTGTATTCTTGAGTGTCTAAAGCCTTTAAGTGCTTATCTCAATTAAGCACTAAAGGGAACAACTCAAGAAGTCTTCTAATCACCAAAGCAAAGCACCAAACTTCAAAAGAAAAGAGCTTCTTCATGCTCACGGATTTAGAGAGAAAGAAGGGAAGAAAGAAGAGCTTCACTCTTGCTAAAATGCAAGCCTCATGCATCTCTTATATAGCCCATGAAAAGTAAGGCCTAACCATTAAAATAATCTAAAGTAATGGTAGCCTTTAGATGCATGGGAGACAAAAGGTGGAAGGTTGAAAACGCAACCTCCTACACCATCATTATGCCTTTTAAAAAGTAAGATTCTTTATTTTTTATAAACTCCAAGTTTATAAAATATAAACTTTGTCTTTAGGTAAAAGACAAAAGCATCCAACTAGTCCAAAATGTTGTGCATGACTTATTAATTCATACCATATGAAATAATAACTAGTAATACTCTCTTATAATTATTATTTTCACAAAACAATAATTATTCCTAACTAAAATACAAGAATCGATATTATTTATTAATAATCATATTAATAATAAATATACAAAATGTGTCAACTTGATAAAGGTGTGACCCTATAGGATCATATATTATTAGCAATATCACTCCATAATGATTCTTGGGTATATAGATCCAACAATCTCCCACTTGCACAAGATTCATTATAGACTGACATAGACAGTAGCTGACGTCTAGCAACGGGCTACTGCCCCTAACAACATATGAAGGGTGCCATTTCATCAACAACCAATTCCAGCAGCTCTAAGCTACAATTGTTACTAAAGGTGTGGTATATATTATTCCTTTGTCTCAGACATCATGTTGAAACATGAGATATGGATCGTGATCAATCTCATTTAGTGTTCAACTTTAATTAAGGCCTTAGATGTCATGCTCTCAACGAATAAGGGACAAATCCCATCTTGACGATGGCCTTTATGACTGCCTTTTACGAAACAGCGTTGAACCATGTATAAGCACAACAATCCCTACACTTCAAGTCCCAAATATGCATCTCAGGTCTAAGAATACAAAGATCATCTTGACTACATACGCCTATCAATGCAGTTCATGTCATACCCAACAATGGCCTTTATGACTGCCCCTTTACGAAACAACGTTGAACCATGTCTAAGCACAACAATCCCTACACCTCAAGTCCTAAATATGTATCTCAGGTCTAAGATTAAAAGATACAACCTTGATTAAAACATCACTCTTGACTACAATCCATAAAGTGGTTTCAATGCGGGTCAAGTCCAATACTTATTCTCCCAATCAAGTACATATGAAGTTGGTAGCATCTCTTTGCCATTCTCATCTCCATGAGAATCCACCAATCCACTCATATTAGTCTTACCTCATAGATGCTCCCACAACTATGAACGACTATGGACATTTAGAATAACCTAGTTATTCAAGGATTTAAACATGCTAATATAGAACACAAAAATTATTTAAGGAAAGACTCATATCTAATATATCATTCATTACATATCTGTTGCTTTATTGTTCCAATATCCAAATACTAAATTTCAATCAATACATCTACTTATATCGACAAGGCCCTATAGCACTAGCTTGACTTTCATGCTTTAGCTAATGAAGCAGCTTTGTTAAGTAGATTTGACAAACTTGATTTGTATAAACTTTAAGAATACAATCATTTTCAGTTTTATATATAATTCATATATAAAGAAAAACTAATTAGAATGAATTAGATGCTTGAATATGACTTAGATACCAATACTTGCGTAATGGGATTACTCATAGTCATAATGAACTATACATTAAGCATCTTTGTACGTGGTTCTCGAAACCACGAGGTACTCTAACTCTGATGTGTAACTGTAATTAAAATCTACATGGAACCACTATCCATGTAACTCTCTCTTCATTCATAATGAGGATACGTCCGATTGTGATTGAGAGTAATCTCAATCTATTTGAAAACTTAGCACATGTGTAACAACTTTAAACATAGCTTTCTTTCAAATACTTCGCAGATTAGGAATATTTCTCTAGTTTTCGCAAGTACTTTAGAATGTTCCTATAAGTCACACAATGACTTGTTCTTGGATTATACTGGTATCATTCGACAAGCTCTAAGCATACAACTTATTTGGCCTTTATGCATAATTATGAAATATATGATTAATCCAATTGCATCAGTATACGGAATACAATCATATTACCTAGTTCAAAAACATTTGCACTAGGATTTTGCTCAAAATCATGTCATGTGGTATTTGACAAGATGACTCTCTTAGAGTCCTTTATATTAAGCTCTTTAAGATCCTTGACAATTAATGCAATATTACTTAATCCTTTAAGTTGCCATTATCTATCTATATAGATCCTTATTCCATGAATTAATATGTCAACTACATATAACATTAGGAATGTTACTGCGCTCCCAATAGCTTTGTAGAAAAACACAAGAGTCATCTAGATTCATAATTAAATCACACTATGTAA